CATACACCTGTGAGGTGGTAGCAATCAGGCAGCAATCATTTCCTCCAAAGTGTATTTGAAAATGCAAATCAGTATGTAAGTGAGGTTTCAGCTCTCAATTTGTATTATCCCGCTCTCTCCTGTTTAACTTTGTCATCTTCTTTCTCGCTCTAAATGTGTTGAATCCAAACTGAGCCTGGGTTCAGAAGGCCTCTAAACATAGAAGCACTGGTCTGAGGATTCATCACTGGTCAGGTTATTATTGTATGAGCCCTCCACTGAACTCACTAGAACTCAAGAGGCCAACGGGTCGCCAGCAAACTACTGTTTCCAAAGTGAGCAAAACCCCTAAAGAGACGGAATGAGTTACTAATGATTACAAAGGGCTAAGCTGTGTCATGTACGGTACTCCAACGGTGCATCCAAAGGAATTCCTGCAGAGAACAAATGTACTTTTTGAATGATCACAAAAGCTAAATGTGACAATTCTAAGAAAGAAGTGTAAAGAAGGACTGAAGGAATACATATTAGTCACTGGTTCATTCATTCATTTCCCTCATGTATTGATAATTCTCTCTATAGTTCGGCTGTATCTTCCTACATTTCTTTCTCCGAGTAGAATAACTAGAAATTCTTCAGCAGAGACATGATTTCATGCAGCACGCAAATTATTTGTTTTCAAAGCAAAAGTACACTTAGATTCAAACTGTGATGACAAATGTATTTAAAGTAACACTTAATAATAGATAACCCCCAATAAATCGTTGTCTCGCCACAGTTACCCCTGCAGAGGATACAGTACCAGGGCTTTAGGGAGTAAAGGAAAAAAAAGAGAGATTGGGAGAGAGAGAAGGATAAAAGGACATAATGATAGCCAAGAGAAGAAAGAGGGTGACAACAGAGGGATGAAATCAATTAAACTGAACGGGAGAAAAATGATGAAAGTAAAGTGCAAGTAGCAAAATTGTTGAGGGACAGGCAGCGAGATATCAACAAGTGAGGAGCATAGACGCTGAGTGATGAAAGATGTGCTGTGGAGGAATCAAAGCAGCAGAGTTATGACAGAGAAGGGCAGAATTATAGAGCATAATTATGTATAATAAGTCCCATACATCAGCCTCGTCCTCATTGTCCTCTGTCACTTGTGTGCGTCATCGTTTGTTGATTTGCATACATTCAGTTCAGAGCGCGGTGCGTACATCGCCCTTCTTTTCTTTCTCTTTCTATTGTTATCGCTTGGCTCCAGGTAGTGATTCAGCGGTCTGGCTTTGAGTGGTGACAGATTTGTGTTCACAGAGCATCAAACAGCCATCCCATAATAAATATTCTGTAGGTTACGCTGTGGTTGCCATGGAGTCTCCCGGGGTGACTGGCAGAGGATAGAGCACGGTTTCCGTAATTAGAGGAGATTGTGCACGATGAGGTGCCGGGAGGGCCGAAAGACGAGAGCTCACATGCAGACGTCAACACACACACACACACATACACACACACACAGAGTTATGGTGAGATGCTGCAGGTCACAGGTAACTGTGTGGGCGGACAGTGAATGTCAAGCATGTCAAGTCAGTTTTATTTAACCCAACATCACTAATCACACATTTGCCTCGGGGGGGTGTAGAATCTGTACAGCGTACGGCACAGTCTGTCCTTGAGAATCCTGGCTGCAGTTCAGGAAGAACTCCCCAAACAAAGCCACTGTAACAGAGAAGAAGCGGAGGAATCCTCCGGAGGAGCAGCTGAGGAGGAATGCCTCTCCCTGGACGGACACACGTTCAGTGGATGTCGTGTGCGCAGAATAGACCAACGTAATAAAATTGCAATCTAGACAATCCAAATGACAAAATGATCCATAGAATGTGTGCATGTATGAAAACGATGGTTCCAGGAGGATGACAAGCAGCTTCCAGGTGTCGCCAAACAGCTGGAGCCTGAGCCACTCGACCTCCTCACCACCATGTAACCTGCAAGAGGACAAGTCACACAAACATGCAGTGCAAGAATTAATGGAAGCACATCATTCACACAGATAGCAGAATAAAGCAAACACACAGAGGAGGAGAGAGACTAGAGGAGAGGCTGGATCTCCTGGAGGAAGGAGATTTAAGATCTAATATGTAGAGAGAGAGAGAGAGAGAGAGAGAGAGAATATTTAAGACTTAAATTAAAACCAGCGTTGATCGATCGAGTTAGGACCAGGCGGTAACCTCCAGTTCTGAAAAGTGAAGTTCCTTCAACTTGCATTCTCTCTACTGACCAGCAGGGGGCGACTCCTCTAGTAGCAAAAAGAAGCCAGGTTGTATAGAAGTCTATGAGAAAACGACTCTACTCCTCTCTTGATTTATTCCCTCAGTAAACATTGTAAACATGAGTTGATGGTCTCAATCTCTAGTTTCAAGTCTAAAGCTAAACTCTTCAAATTTGACAAAAAACATTGACCTGGATTTAAGGAGGTCAAAGGTCACTGTGACCTCAGAGAACATGTTTTTGGGCATATCTCAAGAAATCATGTGCTAATTATGACAATTTCACACAAACGTCTGATAGGCTAAAATGAAGTGATGATATTTTGGACTGCCAAAACGGCAACGTGACTGGTTGGCAGAGGCGTAGAACCGCGAGGCGGTAATTGTTGTCACACAAGTAATTCAAATTTGGATCTCTTTGTATTATGATGTATCGTCACTTTGATCTTTTGTGCAAAGGTGTACCCCTTTGTGTGCTGAGTATATCGTGATATGATTTAAAAGGGTTAAACGTGCACTGGGATGGGAAAAATGTTGTCTTGCTGATTTAAATATATTCCTTTTGTACCTTTTAAGGTAAATGGACTTGTACTGGCATATCTCTTTGTCTTTCCGACCAATCAAAGCACTTTAACACAACATGTCATCATTCACCCATTCATACACTGATGACAGGGGCTACCATGCAAGGTGCCACCTGCCCATCAGACCATCTAATCATTTACACACCGTAGTAGGAACAGCTAAGGGAGCAATTTGGGGATAAGCCGGGGGATCGAACCGCCGATCCTCTACTGCTGAACCACAGTTGTCCAACAGTAATGTAAATGGTAACGTGAAGTTTTATAAAAAAGCATTAAAAGAAGAGAAAGGTTGAACCTGTCTTTTACCCGAATATTTTTGGAGAAATGTGTCAAATCAAGTCTGAAAGTATTGGAACATGCCACATCTTGTGATTTATTGCCTGATAGAAGCTGAACTTCTGGTCCCATAGGAAGCGTTGAGTTCTCTAGCTCTCCTCTCGGCACGTCGGTGCTTTTTTCTACATTTAATCTCAATGAAAACAGGTTCTCATTTCATTGTACATGGAAATGTGTGTCATAGCGCTGCGACAAAGGAGCTTTGGAGAGTGTAAAAGCAATTTAGTCTGACGGACGGTTTGACAGTTATGTTCTTTTGTGTGGTTTTGAATTGGCACTGACACGCGTCCTGCATGTGAAATCATTTGCTCTATTATGGACATTTACTGATACGTGCACACTCTCACTGTCGATTGTTGTTTAATACACTGTTACCTCTTTGACGCACACACGCAAGCAGGCAATTACGCACACACACACACACAAACACACACACACACACCAGGAATGCAAAATGCTTTCAATTGTCACTCCCCCCCATTACACGATTAAGTGGTGATTCAGAAGATTATTAATTAAAATTGAAATAACTTCTTCGTGTTCAAGTTGAAGTGCACATCTGACTATCATTTTAGGCTGTGAAAGTTATTTAAAAGTTAGTTGAAAGCCAATGAGGAGAACATTCCTCGTGCCATTCAGGAAACTGCAAAGTTGCCAACACCCATTGCCATTTAGAATGACACCTATAAAACTATAATACCTTTTCATTAAATGTGCTCAATATGGAGTTTAGAGCATGTCTAGTACCTCATGTACCTCCTTCCCAACATGGAGCTCCTGACTTTGGTGAGAGATTGATATCTGTGGTTCAGAGTACAATGTTAAACGCCAACTCTCCTCATGTATTGTAAAGGAGATTTTACCGAAAAACAAACTCTAAGTCATTCTATGGATTCCACACTGGTGAAAATACAAAAGAGGCTAAATGGAGGGGCACACCCAGTACAAAGCTACTATTTATAGATAGCTCATTGCAGCGCCAGACGTGCTTACATTTTAGTAAGCGTGGCCTTTTGCAATTACTGTATCAGCGCTCTGCTTAACCCACTGAGCTCTCTGGGGATTTGAAAAAAACGTTTTTACGAGCCGAGGAGTGTGTGAATACTTTCCTCCGTCCCCGCCTCTCCACGCGGACGCACTGCGACCTTGCGGTGTCATTTATTTTATGTACAACAGCGGCTTTTGATTTACCGTCATACCAGTGTGTGTTAATCACACACACTGGTGTTGAGCTGCATTCCGTGTGACAGATTTATTATCGCTCTATCTTTCACAGTTTAAGTCACAGCTCTGTGGATCTGTCCGGGTGACTGAAGTGCTCACCATCTCCCTCTCTCCCCCTCTTCCTCCCTCCATCTCTCCCTCCCTCCCTCCCTGTCTCTCAGTTCTATAGCACTGCTATGTCCTCTCCTCTCCTGTTCCCTGCTAATGTTTCCTCTCCTCCCCCCACAGTATTTCAGCAGGAGTGGCATGTTTGCTCGCTCAGCACTTTTCCTCTCCCTTTCCCTCACTTCCCCTGTATATTCTAATGACACTGCAGTGGTGATGTTGGCGGTGTCCTTGTGAGAAAAGTTCTACAAAGGCTACCCGGAGGTTTCTCAGACCCGGGGCATAAATATTTCAAGTTGTTTGAAAGCCTGTGGATGGATGAGACAGATAGCAGACATGACAGCTGGACCATAAAATGGCGGGACAAAAGAGCGTTGCGATGCATCACTTTCTCTGGTTGTTTTTCCTTCACTCACCTCACACTGACAACAAGCTGGAGAGCAAATGTCTAATGACTACATTGTTGCACCAAGGTCTTTAAAAGCTGCTAATATACAGTGCGACCCTCTTGTATGTGTCTGTGCAGATGGAAAGGTGTATGCGTTGGGAGGCATGGGAGCCGACACAACGCCACAGGCCACGGTGAGGGTTTATGAGGCAGAGAAGGACCAATGGCAGCCGGTGACCTCCATGCCCACGCCGCGGTACGGAGCCACGCCCTTCGTACGAGGAAACAAAATCTACATGATGGGTAGGAAACGAGATCCGATCATCTAATTTCACTTTTTTTAATTTTGCCATTTCTCAATGTTTAATTCACAAACGCCGTCCGTTTCCATCCCAGTGGTCCCCAGACCTTTTAAAACCATGGCAACCCTTCAAAGTGACTGTTGTTGATTGATCCAACACTTACCAAAATATCTCAACAATTATTGACTGGATTACAATGAAATTTGTACGGACGTTCATGGTCCCCAGAGGATGAATCCTACTAACTACTGATGATCCTTGAGTGTTTTTAACAGAAATATCTTGACAACTGTTGGAGGGATTGCCGTTCCCCTTAGGATTGTAATAACTTTGATTGTCCATCGATAGCTGGAGCTGATTTATAACTCTTATGGGTAGACCGACAGCATGTCACTCAGTGAGAGAAACGGTCAGTACTGGTATTTTAAAGTTCTTTGCTTTTCAGCATAACTTAATGTCACCTTGGTGGATATTGTTAAAAAAAGAGAAAGGAACAAATGAATACCCTTGGCACATTTTCTTAAGGCACCCTTGAGAACCACTATTCCACCCCACTGATTATATCTCTGTCCTCCCACACAGTCTCTCTGACATCACCTGAGAGTTCACTTTAGGGGTTCAGCTGAGCGAGGAGGGACGTGTTCAGTCACATCGATAGCTGACGACATGTTTGAAGTGCCTCAGTCCTCAGGCTGTGGTGTTGTGGGACCATTTTCAAACTCAAGCTACTTTAATGCACAATCACTGCTTAGAGAGAGTAGATAACGGGATAGTCACTGTAAGTCTGCCCAAAAACCCTCCTTAAAAGTTGTGGCTGTACATAGTCCAGTCTGTCTGAATCACTTCGTGGTGTCTCTCTGTTTTACACTGTGTGTGTGTGTGAAGGGAACTGATGGAAAGACAAAGAATGTGTGTGTCAGGTCAGAGGAGTCTCACAGTCTGGGTACAGTATTGATCAGAAGGACAGAGTTGGAGGTAAAAGCTTCTCTGTAGGAGAGAAAAAAACGAATGTACATATGTTCACCGCAGTGCAGATCCTGTGTTTTGTTTGCTTGTCAATCCACTGGTTTCCCATTCGTGATCAGAGGTTACATTTGCTCTCATTGTGCCTCTTTGGGGGGCTGTTATTGCTCATTGACACTCGGTCAAAATTTCACACCACTGCTGAGAGGGAAAATTGGAATCACACAAGGCGGGGTGCTATCATTTCATCTCGCCACGGAAGCGTTTTCGCAGCAGAGATGGATTAATTTCGGCACACGCTGCCGGCAACAACGCGGCCCTCATTCAGCACAAAGTAGCTGTGCCCTCCTGAGAGCAGCAGAGAGCAGTGTTTTGTTTCTCCCATGCTCCGCCAGACGGGTAGAATAACTCGCTGCTTATGTGTCGAGCAGGCGGAGGAACCATATTCATCAATTTGGCAACATGTGGTCTGCTTTTTAGAGCTACTGCAAATATTGAAAACATAAGCAGGTTGACAGTGATGGAACGCACTAGAGCATTTTTAAGTACTGTACTTAAATGTTGAAGTACTTGTTACTTTATTCATGACATTTCAGAGGGAAATGTGCTGCTTTGTACTGCTTCTATTTCACAACTGTAGCTACTTTGTAGAAAAAAAGATTTAACAAAACATCTTTATAAAATATGATTCACTGATATAGATTAAAATAGTAAATGGTCTAAAGTAGTTGGAATTAACATAATTTCAGCTGCCAGCTGCCACATGAAAATGTTGCTCGGACATAAATGCAAGCAGGCAGTTGTTTTCAGTAAAAACATAAACAGGTTGGGATAAAGCCTTTGTTCACTGCCTGCTGAGCACCAAACAGGAGACGCACTGTTAGAGAACACAGTAGCAGCTAAAGAGCCAATATAGATATTTCACTCAGGAGTGGGTGGAGACTGAAATGAGCCAAAAGTGTGAACTGAATATTGGACTGACTCTCAAAAAATAAACATTGCTTGCTCTTTGTTGGATGTGTAAAGAGGCAACTGTTTGCTCCATTAACTCTACTGGTGACAATATGTGGACGTTTGACCCCCACGTGAGCTGATGCAGGTTTAAGTCAAATCTGAACGCTTCTTCTGAGAAACACGTCCGTAAATTTGTCAACAAATGAAAAAAAAAATCTAGAAACAAAATAAGACATCACATGTAAACACATACAATACTGTTTATTACTTTTTAGTTTTGTGCTTCTGCAGATCAAATGTATGGTGAGAATAAGACTTTTATCCATCAATCAATAGCTTGTCTCTCCCCATGATGTCAGATACCTACATTCAGCATGAACACAGGGCGAATAAATACGACACTAACACCAAACACACAATAAATACTGGTCATATTTTGTTGCTTGGGCAGAAGCCCCCGGCGTCAATATACCATGTATCTCGACCCAGAAGGTTCCCGCGTGGTTGATGTTGTGAAACGGTCACGGTTAACGTCGTATCATGTGGTTAACATCGTCAAACAAACGGTGGTTACGTTCAGGCATTGAATCTAGTGGGTTAGGCTCAGAAAAAACATTATGGTTTGGCTTCAAATAAGCACGCTTATAATGTAATGTACGGAACTGACTCGGCGAGGTTGTGTCAGTTACGTGGCATAACGTAGTCAGCCAAAAAAATCCCCTGTGAAACTTTTGGTTTCGCCCCCTGAGCAAAAGTCCTGTTTGTGCGAGAACGCTGTATCAGCAGCTGCCGAACGAGCTGCGAGGGCAATTAATAAAACTGTGCATTCAGTAAAAGAGCTTGTTTTTGTCACTGACGGGCTGGTTTTTATTACAAGTGTCTGACAACATTGTGGAAAGAACCTGACAGAGAAATTAAACGTCTTATCGTTCGCTTGATCCGGTCTGTTTGTTGTTGTGATCACTCAAGAAATCTGAATATCAGGTAGTAACAAGTCCCTCTCTTTTCAGCATTCTTCCTCTGAGGTTATAAGGTCCTACCCTGATATTCCTACCCTAACCCATGGGTATCAAGATGCAGAGGGCCACTGCCCAAGGGTTGTTATTTGCCCCCCTGGGGGGGGAGACCAGGCTGGTTGTAAAGATCTTTCAGAGTTTCCTGTACAGTGCTGGTTATCTGGCCTCAGACATTGACCACCGTATTGAGAACCTTTTTGAGAATGATACCAGCAGATAACAAAGAACGTGAGCACAGAGTCAATAACAGATTGCTAAGACATTTGTCATCAGGGTCCTGTCAACTTCATCCTTATTGGGGACAAAAGAGACGCTGTTTGCTTTTTTCCTCGTACACCATGTCAGCATAACTCTCAAATGTCAGTTTATTGTCTTGTATAGTTCCCCAATAATTCCACTATTTCTGTATTCTGGCCATCAATCAGTGCACTGTCAGGAGAGGGCTGAGAACGTCTGAAATAGATGCGCGTCCTCGTCTTTGACACATTCAGCACGAGAAAAGATTCACGACACCAGTCTGGAAAATAGTCAACAACGGGACCATCGGAAACTAGTCAAGTTAGCATTTATACTTAGAGTGGCTGAAGCTGAATTTATCCTTCAACCATTTTGTATCCATTACTTTATCATATTTTGACATTAGCCCTCACATCACACCAATTCCTAGTTTGTTTGTTGGTCTTGTGGATAAGAAATAAAGTTTATTTTTATAATCAACACTTGAAATGATGAAGGCACTTATCTCCTGTGGCTCAGTGGTCGAGCAGGGTCGTCCTTCAATCAGAGGATCGGCGGTTCGATCCCCGGCTCCGCTAGTCCGTGTCGATGTGTCCTTCCACAGGCTGTTCCTGCGGTGTAGGAATGGGTGAGAATGGTTAGTTAGAGTCCTGATGGGCAGGTGGCACCTTGCATGGTAGCACCCTGTCATCAGTGTGTGAATGGGTGAATGATGACATGTTGTGTTTAAGTGCTGTGAGTGGTCGGAAGACTAGAAAAGCACTATACAAGTACAAGTCCATTTACCATTTACCAAAACACATGAGTCACGACTTGAGTCCCAGTAATGGAAGGAAAAACATCTGGTATCCCCATCACCTGTTTGAATTTTCATAAAACATTGTTTTATTACTTTTGTCCACAGAGAAAATAGTTCAATGTTTCTATGGATAAGTATATAGTAAATTAGCTGAACTCCATAGGCCACAATTTGATTTAACAAAGCGTTACACTCGTTGTTAAAGGCTACTATTGCCCCTCTTTTCCAATTAACTTAAAGAAAGAAGTGGGATATTTTGGGAGATGCACTTATTCGCTTTCCGTCAAAGAGTTAGATGAGAAGATGGACTGTCAGCAGTTGCTCGGCAACGTGAAGACGGCAGATTGTTGTTTCATTAGTGAGCTGTAGCGGTGCTGCTTGGTTGATCTTAATGTTGGACAGAGCCAGGTCACTGAAGGTGTTTCCCCTGAGTCTCCGTCTTTGTGCTAAGCTAAGCTAACTGTCTGCTGGCTGTAGCCGTTAAATATCAAACTGTTCCTCTGAGAGTCGGAGACCCACACACACACACACACACACACACACCAGCTGAACTTCTGCACTTTTGATTTATAGTCACATGTGAAGTCTCTGCACTGAGATCATTTCATGCTGTTTTTCTGGCTTCTTCAGACAGTGACATGAAAATCTCATGGGCTGTCACACTGCAATGAAATAATAATTAAAAAAAGGTCTGATATGATTGTAGTTAAACACCAAAATAGAAATAAAACATGGTGCAATGAAATGAGAAGTCCCCCACAAATGAATACAACCTAACTGCAGACCAGCACGCTAAATTACAGAGACGAGTGACACAGCGCACACACAAATACACACACAAGAGTTTAAAGAGGTGGCGTCACAGTCAGAGTTCTGAGCGGTGCGCAAACAGAAAACGTGACACTCCTTCTTTTCCTCTTATAACTGGAACTCCAGGTCATCATTTATTCACCCCTCTCTCTTCCTCCGTGTTGTTCTGTGTGAGCGTGATTCTTGTCCACTGGCTGCTTTTGAGAAGCTGATCACACCTTGTTAATTCAAGGCGCTTCTTCAGCTGCAGCTCCACTCGGCGGGTGTGTCTGGATCAGTTGGTGCCTGAACCCTTTTGATTTAAATTGCTGTGTTCCCAGACAGCAGCAGGCTTACCAAGCATGTGACGTAACTCATCAAGGTTCATGCTGCTTTTCAAATTCTTGTGCGCACATTTTAAAATCGAGGATTGCGTTCGCAGTGCTGGGGGCCGGTAATCGGCACACATGTGCAGCTGAAAAGAGGCCGTCAACAAGCTGATCAAAAATCGTGAGTATAAACACACACACTCTGCACTTCTTTTATTGCGTAAGGATCTTATCGGGTGTTCTTGAATGAGTGAATGTGGGATTATACTGTGTTGTCCTTCTGCAGCTGCAAAGTCAGATAAGGAATTTCCACAAAGACAAATCTGCTCACTCTCTGCAGCCTTTACACTACTGAAGCTATGTGTCAGTTAACAGCAGACCAATCAGAAAGGGTCACTGTTTATACCAGCCAGCATCTTGAACCTTCATCAGCAAGGAACAGCAGGTATGTTATTGTAGCAACAAGCAGCCTGTAAGAACACAAGCCAGAACAGCAAATAAAAAAAAAACTTGTTACAGCTTTCCTGGTTCTGTTTTAGAGGAGATGGTGAGAGGGGAGACAGACCCAGTGATATTTAGCTTTGCCCTGTTCAGAAGCATAAATATGTTATGGAGAAAAGAAAAAGCTCTTGTGGTGTCTCTAGCAGACGCTGTCCTTTGGATTTGAATGCTGCTTGTTGCGTGTGTTACGCTGTAATTTGTTCCATTCAATTAGATGTAATTGAGTCTCCGACTACAGCTGTGCTAGCAGTCTGTGAGGCACAGCGGTGCTTTGAGCTCAATGCTAACGCTAGCATTGCAGCATTCATTGATACTGTTTAAAGTTACTGGGACAGTGCACTTTAATACACGTCTGTAAATGTGCCAGTTTTTACTGACGACCACAATAGAACCACGAAATACATAAGAACAGGAGCAGCAATATATACATGAAACACCTGAAATACTTTAAAACAAGGACAACAACACATGAAATGTAAAGCAAAGCAGACTTCCGACTAACACATGTGGGATATGCTGATATTACTCTGGTCTTTGGACATGTAAACAGTGCATTTAGAATATGAGTCTCAATAGGGTTTTTTATGGCACTTTGCGACACACAGCCTTTCTCCTGTTTACGACCAGCTCTGTACTTTGAACACAAACCAACTACCAATAGTTTGCAAAGCTGGAGGAGAGATGCCTAAAAGAAAAGCTGGTCGAAAGGAGAAACACACCTGCTTTTAAGCACTATGAAGGACTTGGATATCAACAAGTTTTTGGACACGCGCAAATATCACAACGCCGACCTTTTCAAGAAGGTGGTTGAAGGCATGCGAGAGGGAGGCTGTGCTCGCACGGCGAACAAGTCTTTCAACGGTGGAAAACTTTGGAAAAAAACAACATATTTTTAAGCAAAGAAGCAAAATGGCACAGGCGGCTCCTGCCGTTCCACTTCTCCATAGTTTGACCTGGTAAACGACATGTTAGGGCATCGACCCATCAAACACAGCTGAGAACGCTGTCGACGTGGGATTCACAGGCCCGGTAACGAGGATGCAGCATGGGGTCGCTTTACGATAATCGGAATATGCACAGCTGCATGTAAACGGGAATATTAGTGGAATATTCATTTGTATCAGCCATGTAAACAGCTTATTAGTTATATTGTCTTTTTTAGGTAAAAAGTGCGAAAGCAGTAATATTTGATGCATATAAATGTAGTCAATGTGAACTATCCGATCCCACATCAAATCCTACACAGAATAAACTGAACATACTGCCTATTGTGGATTTTTAGTACCTCTGTATACTGAACATTTATATTATAATCAACACATCTCTTAGCTCCAGAATGTCCTTCTTTCTCTCACGCCTCTCCAGCTCTAATGCTTCCCACTCAGTTCGACTCTTAGTCTCGCTACCGCTATCGATCTCCGTGCCACCCGGCCCACTCCAGTCGACCCTCTTCCACTTTCTTCTCTCACTCCTCCACATTCTCCTCTCTTCCCGGTCTTACTTTTGCACAATTTCCCTTGTGTCACCGTCTCATTTTCCCCTCTCACACCTCATTCCGCCACTTTCTTCTTCCCCGTCTGTTTCTACATTCTCATTTCCTCCCATTTTTTCTGTCAATGTTTTTACCCTCAGCACCCCTCTGGCGTTGTCCAGCGCTCGCCTCAACCTCCCTCCCTTTCTCCGCCATTCACATTCTTGCCGCCCCGCTATACGCTCCCTCTCTCGCCACTTGACTTTTCCCACTGCTGTTATATTTTACAAGGTTATGTTATGATTTGTGACTTGTAGGCATCCTGGGGGAGCACCCCCGCTGCTGTGCTCTGCTCTCAGTCTGAAATGAAATGTGGTCCCAGCGCTGGCCCGGACGCTTGCCAGACTTTGACATAAATGCCAAGGAAACTTTGTGACAGGAGCAGGGGATTAAAAGCAATGAAAAGAAAACAGGACAAGGGAAACGGGGACAAACCTTGTCACACCGAAAATCTGTATTCGCAAGTCTCTGGCTCTGCTCATATAAATGCTAATATTCCTGGAAATGCATCGTTATGATAACACAGAAGTTATTTGTCGCTGATGATGTTAAAAGTTGTTGCTTTAAACAGGGCTGTGTTCCACAACTACATCAAGCGATCCAGCAGTGTGTTACAGCATCACATCCCAATATCATCGTTAATGCTTCGTGCCCCTGAATGTGAATGTTGTCCTTCCTCGTCCAGGCGGTCGTCAGGGAAAGATGCCGGTGACGGCGCTGGAGGCCTTCGACCTGGAGACGAAGAGCTGGACACGTTACCCCTGCATCCCAAGCCGGAGGGCCTTTTCCTGCTGCGCCACCAATGAGCGAAGCCTCTTCAGCCTGGGGGGGCTCCAGCAGCCGGGGCCGCACAACTTCTACTCCAGACCTCACTTTGTCAGCACCATGGAGGAGTACGATCTGGATCAAGGTAAGCGGTGACCTGAGTATTCGTTAAACTACCACTTCCAAAGCAGGACTCGAGGGCGGACTGCCCATCTGGAGAACCCGGAGCTTTCCTGGGGTGGGGGGGGGGGGGGGGGGGG